GGCATTCTTTCTAAAAACGCTGTTAGGATAAATCTTCCTCAAAAATCATGTTTATAAATGTCTCTCACACACAAGCGTGCACACACACATAGGAAAATAATGAAAACTTCAATGGGCTAGTGAAGAATCTATATTTTTTAATCAATTTGTGTTTCCAGTAACAGCCACCTAATCAGTTTAATGGCCACCTAATCAAGATGCTCTGTTGATTTCCAAAGGGACATGGAGTAGAAAAACTAATAAAAATGATCTTTTTGTAAGAAGACACAAGAACACATCTTCGCCTTGGAAAAGAAAATTTTGCCTAGTTAAAAAGTTCTGGATTAGGATCTTAATTTTAACTTTCCTACAATTATGTCAATAAAGAAACTGAAAATATTACATGCTTTTTGTAATTTAGTATGTGATATGTTGAGTTCACTTTAGAATAGTTCTTGAGAATTTGTTTAATATTAGACATTGACAAATATTCAGATAGTTAAGAAGGACAAAAAAGGAAATGGTACCTAGAACTCATTTATATCAACTTTACATGCTTTATATGATGCTGATTCAGAGAATAATATTATTTTCACTTTCTATTAATTCTTAAAAATAATATCGAAATATTTCAAATGGGCCATTTTTTAAAATACTTTCACAGGAGCAATTGTCTTTAAAGATTTTTGTTATTGTAAATAAGACATGGTAGATTTGATGTTGATACTCATTTTAGATTTTTTTTTTTTACTCTTTTAAAAAGGAAAAACTAAATTTCATATTAAATGATTTTATGATGTCTTTATCAGTTTCCTGTTCTTTTAGTTGGCATGGGAAAGAGATACATGTTAAAAGTTTGGGGAAATAATTTGACGTTAACTAAACCCAACCTTGTGTAGTAATTGACATGTTAGTGCCAGAAAAGGTAATCGATTAGATAAAGAACAGTGAAAACACTTGTAATGATAGCTATGTCAACTTAAGCCATTCATTAATTTAAATAAAGGCGTAGAGGTGAGCATATGTTCCTGAACCAGATCATCATAAATTTCAATGATAGAACAGATGTGATGAAACTGAAAAGAGATTTGAAATTTTTACTACTTAAAAAAAAAGTTTACAACCATGCCACCCTGAACGTGCCTGATCTCGTCTGACATCGGAAGCTAAGCAGGGTTGGGCCTGGTTAGTACTTGGATGGGAGACCACCTAGGAAGACCAGATGCTGTAGGCATTTAAAAAAATTTTAAAAAGCTTGAGAAGAATAGACACTTTAGTCACTATTCCTTGGAGAATTGGTTCAAATAATTTGAAGGCTTTTTTTAAGATGGGTAACTTAGCCTGAAAATAAAAAAAATGCAGTTTTATGATGTTATTGTTGCTTTTGTTTAATGTAATCCACCATTTAATCACACGAGTCAAGTACAGAAAAACTCTATGACTGAAGGGATTTTTTAAAAGAATTCTTAAACCCACCTGACCCTATCGCAAAACTGCCCAGCCTGTTCTTTGCATGTGCCTTCAGCTACTCATGCTGGATTTAGCTGTGTCTGCATTTCAGAGGAGAGCTGTCAGTTGCATGGTCAATGTGTTTATTGTTACCAGGGTTTTCTGATCACCATAGTTCATTATTTGATTTGCTTTCACGTAACACAGACATAAAGCGTGGTGTCTTTTTAGAATATCATTTGTTAAGCAACTTGGCATGGAAAAATAAATGTTACTGTTTCTTATTAGCTCCAAAATACATATCCACTAAACACATTTGCTGTTGGCATGCTGCAGTTGGGGACAGTGGACACGGCGGTAAGTGGAAAGACAAGGCCTCCACTTTGTCTCAGATAATCCGTCTCCATGAGAACACTGCCTTCATGCCCACAAAGGCTGCAGCATGACTGCAGGTCTCAGCCTCACATTAGCTGTTCCACATGACTCCCCTCAAACCATCGCCCTTCATTTCTTCGGGCCCTGAAAAATCCTGGGCCTCTCACTCAATAATAAATGGTGCTATTTTCTAATGAGTAACACAGTAATTTGTAAACAAAATGAGAACACAAACAAAATAAGTGCATAAAGCTTCATATAGTTCATTTGATTCCCACAAAAATCCCTTAGCTATATTGTTATTTTTGTCTCTGCGTGAGAGATATGGACTCCAAAACCCAAATCTGTTAGACTCTAACCCGCCCTTCCCACCACATCATACCACATCTCTTGATTAAAAAGCATGGAGATGCACTTTGAAATTTGTGGATGTTATTAATGCTTCCTTTTTCAACCCACAATAGTTCAATCCTAGCTGGCATCTGAGGACTGAATGTCTGAACAAATATAATTTACCAGTAGCTGCCACAGCAAATCAATAACCTGTCTAATAACAGGAAATTGTGTTAGTGAACATAACGTTTCATTCCGTTGATCAGTCATCACATTCATTACATGTTGGAATTGTTCTAACCTTGTGTGGTTTTATCTCTTAAGAATGAATGAAGGCATAAAAGAAATGTAGTGTTAAGTGTTGTATGTTTAATATTATGTATGCAGTGCTATCAACTGCTGTGAGATTGCATGAATTTATGGATATCATAATCTTGCCTGGACTATAAAATGCATGCAGAATGTAGTAATGTATGTATATGTAACCGTCTCCCTGTTTTCCTATAGAAATGTTTAGAAATTACAAAAAGATATCCTTCCCCTCCCCCCCCCAAAAAAAACATTTTAAATCTCAAAAGTTGAGGTTAAAGCTAAAATCTATTTTGAAAGTGAGTATCAAATCAGTTCTTGGTTATTTCCAGTGTAATTGTATTCATACTACTGTACTTTATCTCAGTCCTTCTATGATGAATCCAGGAAAGGTGTGTATACCTGTAGTATGAGATTGACTTCAAATGAATGCAGAGAGATTAAACAAAGCTCAAATTTTCAACGAGGGGAAAATATATTTATGTGCTCCTATTTGCTGAAAACATTTTACTTATTGAAATATATGACCATATACCATTTCGTCAAATTATTTACCCAGGTGGAATGGAAGAAATTGTTTGAAATGGAATAATTGTGCCTCTGTTGTCCACAGTCAGAAGCTAAGTTTTAAGGAGCGAGTGCGCATGGCTAGCCCGAGAGGCCAGAGCATTAAGAGCAGACAAGCCTCGGTAGGCGACAGGAGGTCCCCAAGCACCGACATCACTGCCGAGGGCAGCCCTACCAAAGTGCAGAAGAGCTGGAGCTTCAACGACCGAACCCGTTTCCGGCCCTCGCTGCGCCTCAAAAGTTCTCAGCCAAAACCAGTGATAGACGGTAAGCCGTTTTTCCGTAGCCATTTTTAATTTGATAGGCTATAGTGAGTGAGATTACGAAGTAATTAATTCTCCATGGTACCACTTAAAGATAGAAGGAAACAACCCCAGAGAAAGAATTGTTCGTTTTATTGGAAATTTATTCCTTGCCTTGGGCAAATGTACAAAACATACATTTCCTTTTGGAAGCAACTTTGGCAGCTAAATCTAAATTTCAAAGTAATAAAACAAAATGTTACTAATCCTTCACTAGTATCTACAACACATCATTATTTCTCAGACAAGTTCTATATCAAGATCAACGTGACTGGCCTGATGTATAGGTTATATTTGACCAGCAGAGGCCCAGGGCCCAAAGACGAGCAAGTACTCTGAAAGTCTTGAAACACACTAAGAAGGGTGACAGCATCTTCCAGGACAATGATAAAGGTGCTATTCCCCTTCAATCCACCACTAAATCAGAGACCACTGCTTATCTTCCTTAGAAAGATTCCCGTTGAAAGTTCTTATCTAATGATAAGTGGAATCCAAGTTCTTCTCCCAAGAGGAATTAACCTATTTTATTTATCATTCTCTGTGGCAGAAGTTTACTTGCCAACACATTTTATTGAGTGCCACATAACTTTCGTGCTTATAAAATAAAATATTTTCTTTTTCATTTATGATTAGCTTGGCTTTCCCTTTAAGTATGCCCCCTGGGATCTCTTCTACTGGGCAAAGAACCAAAATCCAATAGCATCTTCCATTGATGCATAAAAACTGCAAAGGCTATCAGTCCTTCTGTTCTTGTTCCCAGCATAACCTGTATTTTCCCAGGCCCTGAAAGCCTGAGGGATAAAACTAACAACCAGGGTCACAACCATAGTGCTCTCAGGCTCCCTGCTGTGACATCACTGGACCCTCAGCCCCAGGGTCCCTCCCAGTTCATTCAGAAATCCTTGGGGACATGTCCCACTCTCAAGCAAGCAATATGAATCCCCTCTTGCCACTTCTTCATTCTCTGCAACCCCACGGGCGCCATGCTCTCCAAGTAGATGCCTAGCGGCTGACCCAATGTGACCCCTCCTGGTGTGGCTTGCAGCTCCCATCTCGGCTGCAGGATGTGCTGATCCTGCCAGGCTTCTTGTCACCTGCCACTGTGCTAAGATAGGAAATGTCCCCTCCACCAGCATGGGACACTCCCCCATCAATCCCTGAGTGTCCTGAGTCCCTGGCAGCACAGATTTTCAGTGTCCTCTGGTTTCTACAATCTCCTCCCTCGGAATTGGCTGAAAGCCCATGAACAGCTGAGTCAAGAGTTACCAGTTACAGGGCTTTATGTTGCCCTCAAAATAGACTTTCTGGTTATAAACGAGTGCATCGTTTTGGGAAAGCAATTTGGCAACATATATCAAAAGCCTTTAAATATGTCTAAGCTTGGACACATCTCACCCACCAATTCCTTTTCTAGGATATAATCAATAAAATGAAATAATATCAGACATTAGAATGATGCTATAAACTTAAAATCATTGACATGAAAAGAAGATCACAAAAAGTAAATTATTCCATTTTTGGTGTGTGTGTGTATAAATTCATGTATTTATAAGAAAAGGTCTAGAAAGATTTACATTGCATGAACAGTAACCTCCAAGTGATGAAATCATAGTTATATTTTGTTTCTTCATTTTGTCCATCTGTATTTCCTGTTATTTCTACAAGGAGCATGTAAAGCTTTTGTAATAAGAAAGCAAAAGTGGATTTTCTACTAAAAACTCGGGCCTTCCTTTCACACACTGCCCTCTCCCCCTTCCCAACTCTGGGGGCCCTTGTTCTAACTAGTGGTCACCAAATCCCTCTCTCTTTAGGTCGATTTCCTCCCAAGTAGGAAAAGGAGCACCAGGTCTTCCTACTGGAGACCAGCCTTCATGAATGTAGACATGGATTGTCTAATGAAGTTTAACAGCTCTTATTAAAAATAAAGCTGCCGCATTAGGTTTAGGGCTGCCATAACAAAGTACTTAAACAACAGAAATTTATTTTTTCACAGTTCTGGAGGCTGGAAATCTGAGATCTCCTTGGCTTGTAGATGCCCACCTCCTCCCTGTGTCTTCCTTTTATCTTTCCTCTATGCATGTCTATGTCTAGGTTTCCTCTTCTTATAAGGACATCAGTCATACTGGATTAGGGACCATACAAATGACCTCATTTTAACCTAATTGTCTCTTTAAAGACCTTATCTCCAAATAGAATCATATTCTGAGGTACCGCGGATTAGGACTTCAACATATGAATTTTGGAGGGACACATTTCAGTCCATATCAGAGCTCCAGCCCACTCACATCACAGCATCCTTAGACAGGTTGGGGTATGCCCATATCATCAAGCCTAGCCCTGGGTTCACATTGTGCTAGAAACACATACGTTACCCACAATGGGTCCATATTCTTCCAAAGTAGGCTTCAAGCATTCGACTCTGTGCTGTGAGGTCCCTATGGTGGGCTGAACACATCTAAATATAAAATTCTTAGAATCTGGATTCTGAATATGAAAAATGAATTTTGCTTGTATATTTGGCCAGAGGGAAAGCATTCTTCAAAGACTCCTAGAGACAGCACTATCCATCACAGTATTTTCGGTTAACTCAAAGATGTCTCAGAGGTCAGACAGAAACAGAAGTCCTATTCTCTACCAGATCACAAACTGGAAAGGTCTCCTGCCATACATCATTCCATACAAGTGCAGTCCTGTTTCGTTAGTGAGGGATTGCTTTTCTCTGGTTGACGTCCGTCTCAATTGGTTCTGAGTTCTCCAAGTGACAGGAGGCCTGATTGCTCTTCTGTTGAAGTAGTTTTGTTGGCTGCCCACATGAAGAGATCATGCTTCGTTTGATCTAATAGTTCAGAATCTTTACGTCTGATTTAACTCAACTTTAGGTCTTGGAAAAATGGAAGTTCTCTTTTTACAGGAAAAAAATAATAAAGTAACTTTAATTGAAGTAAACTTCACTCATATATTTTTATTTATAGTCCCTTTCCAGGTTATAAATATTTCTAAAAATCCACTTACCATTCATAGAAAATAATATGTAACACTCCGGCCAGCTCCCAAATATTCCAGATCTATTTGCTTATTTATTTTAAGGGTTCTTTTCTTCTCCTTCTCTCTTTCCTTTACATATTTTAGACATTTCGTTGCCCATTAACAGCTCAGGGAGAGTGGAAGAATAGCAAAAAGAATAATGGAAATTCAGGTTGGCCTTTAAGTTAATAACCATTACATTTGGAAAATAATGGGCCTGTTATTGAAAGATACTATAATAGAAAAACAAAAGAAATTTAGGAAGAAGTAAACTATAAAGAACTGGTGCAGTGTTGCCATAGCGAATTTATTTTGACTGACATGATATGAATAGTATTTTTAGTTTTTAAATCCAATAATAAGAAATAAAAATGTTTCAGTAGTCAATCAATGATATTTAAGACTCTTCATGTAATTTTTTTTAATTAGGTAGGATATGCCTTTTTTAGATTCTACTGGTAAGTGAGATCATGCAGTTTTTTTTTTCCTGTGTCTGTCTTATTTCACTTAGCATAATGTCCTCCAGTTTCATCCATGCTGTTGCAAGTGGCAGGATGTCTTTCTTTTTTAAGATGAATAATGTTCCATTGTATAATTATACCATAACTTCATTTCACTGTGTATATGTATACCAAATCATCATGTAGTACATTTTAAATATATACAATTTTATTTTAAAAATAAAATAAAAAGAAATTAGGTAGTATAGAAAACATTTATTAGATCCTTCTCTATGGCAGACATTGTTCTAAATGCTCTACTATTATTTCAAGTAATTCTTCTAATACCCTTGTGAAGTAGGTTCATTATTATCCCTATTCTATGAGTGAGGAAACTGAGACTGAAGCTAAGTAACTTTCCCAAAGTCTAACACATATAAGTGAGGGAGCCACAGTACACACCTAGGAGTCTAATTTCACAGTCCTCCTTTAGGACATACTTTCAGATGTGCTCCCAAATGTCACATCAGTTTCCCTTTAAGCATCTTTCATTTCTTCTTTTTCTCTGCCATCCCTCCTCCCTCACCTGCATTCACTCTTCTATCTTCAATTGGTCAGATCCCCTTGCCATATAAATCATTTGACCTTGCCACTATCCCATCCTATCTTTCTCCCAACCCAGTGCCCAAATCTCTGAACTATATCACCTTCAAAGACTGCCAGAGCTAAAAGATTAGGCAAATTGGGGAAATGACCTTTAGATGGCCCTTCTCTGTTTTGATCAAATATCTGGGAAGAGGCTCAGAATAGCAGTCATGCTGGTCTGTGTTCGTTTACACAGGGAGAGAGGGAGGTAAATGATGAAATCATCTGAGGCCTGTTTCAAGATGGAAAAGGTAGTGTCAAGATATAAATGGCTGTCAACAGAGGACGAGCAAATGGAAAATAGTAGACGACAAGAAAAAGGAATACCTAGCAGCCAAAATCCACAAAAGTCCAACTAAGGTAGAGCTAGAAGAAAGTCCAGATTTCTGGTGACTAGTTTGCTACCCAGGAGGGCTATACTTGCTGGACCTTGCTGTACTTGGGAACACCTTTCAGAATTACACTCAATACAATAATCTTTATAGAGGAGGATAAGGAGGTAGCTTGAGATAGCTCCACCCTGTAATGCTCATACATTATATCTCCCACATACATGTATAACCTGCATGTTTTAACATGTTTAACATTTTTTCCACTTAAGGGGAACATATCGATTCTGCTGAGCAATCCTCAGGGCCCTTGCTAGCTGCTATGGGAGGTACATCCTCACTAGATGTCGATGAGAAAGAGTAGCCCGATCTGGGTACAGGAGATGTGAAGGATTCACCTGAGCAGAGGCTGGGTGAGCTGAAGATGCGGAATACCTTCTAAATCATGGGTGTCCCTTGAGGCCAGTTTGTTCAGGCACTGCTAATTAATCTCTTCTTTCTTCCATGTTCCTTTCTCCCCTCAGCCA